TGTAATCCCTGGCGCGCTCCCCCTTTCTTCAGCCGGGGTCGGCGGATTGTACATACAGCCAACTTACATCCCCTACTACAAGAATATTTGTTGAAACAAGAACTCTCACTAGTTGGCATCTTGCCTTCTCCCGCTTTGCTTTCCCATCAGTTGCGCGCACCGAACATCGACCTGGCACACGCGGAGAAGGAGAACGGCAACACCGTCGCCTGCCATTCAATTGGGATCCTTGTACTTTCTTGAGCCATGAGTGACAACAGCACTGCCATAGCTCTTAGGGGGAGGCCATCGCTATTGTATAGGATGGAAAACGTCTGGGTAGGCATCCGATGTGAGGGATTTCAGCTTTATGATTTCTGGTAGTTTGCGAGGCATGGTCGAATGAGACTTTCACGACTTACGAGGATAAGACAACCTCTAAAGGTGCTGAACATGCCCAAGAACTCAACTGGTTAGCGCCCTGTGCTAATACAACGATTGGTCTAGGGGCTTGGCAGAGGTGGGAGAGCAGGTAGTTGTTCTTTTGCAGTGCCCCACTGAATTACAATTTACCCAGTAAACAGGAGATGTCAGGTGTCAGGTCTTTGCCGTGAATTCTTCTCCAATGTGTCTTGACGCACTAAAGCAAGGGATAAAGTCCGATTCAGAAACCAAAAATCCGCGATTCAGCAACCAAAATGGCGCGATTCAGAAACCAAAACCGCGATTCAGAAACTAAATTTTCGCGATTGAGAAAGCAACATTCCGCCGGTTCAGCGACCAAAAAACAACGATTCAGCAACCAAATGCGCAGTAGGTTAGGTGGGGTCGTAGGATGGGGCAATTACGTTCCTGCGAGATGGCAGGGTACTGAATCACAGTAGGTTGGGTTCCTGGGAGATGGCAGGGTACTGCGTCACAGTAGGTTGGGTGGGGTGGTGGGATAGGGCTGGGCGAATAACGTTCTCGGGAGATGGCACCTGGGTACTGAGTGGGGTGGTGGGATGGGGCTGGGGCAATAACATTCCTGGGAGATGGTAGCTGGGTACTGCATCACGGTAGGTTGGGCGGGGTGGTGGGATGGGGTTGGGCTAATAACGTTCTTGGGAGATGGCAGCTGGGTACTGAGTGGGGTGGTGGGATGGGGCTGGTTCAATAACACTCCTGGGAGATGGCAGCTGGGTACTGCATCACAGTAGGTTGGGCGGGGTGGTGGGATGGGGCTAATAACGTTCTTGGCAGATGGCGGCTGGGTACTGAGTGGGGTGGTGGGATGGGGCTGGGGCAATAACATTCCTGGGAGATGGCAGCTGGTGAGCCAGTCAGAGCTCCAAAAAAAGGGAGCCGGCCTCACTGTCCGGGAGGCAGACGATGCTGAGAGGCAGCGTGTGGGGAGTCCGCGAGAGTTGCCATCTGCCTCCGCTTGGAACACTTTAGAGCAACTTGAGCAGATGGCGCAGAAGAGGAGAGAAAAGAAAAAAACATTGGCCGAGCAGAAGGAGAAGACGAAGAGGATCCGAGACGAAGCCTGAGCGGAAAAACAAGAACGTCGCATATGCCAGCGGACATGTCAGCTTCGTTTCGTCGTTGCGCTTGGTTTCCGAACATTCTTTTTGGTTTCCGAATAATCGTTGGTTTCCGAATATAACGTTTTTTGGTTTCCGAATCATGCTTGGTTTCCGAATAATCGTTTTGGTTTCCGAATCATCGTTTTGGTTTCCGAATCACGGTTCCTTGGTTTCGGAATCACGCTTGGTTTCCGAATCATCGTTTTGGTTTCGGAATAAAGCCGCAACCCTAAAGCAAGATTGAGGGTATTTCATTATATTACGAAAGCCAGCCAATAGGCTAGGCTTGAGCTCTTAAACCGAACGCCGAACGAAGTGAGTTAAGGGGGTGTGGGGGGGGGTAGGCCGCGAAAAGGCACCATTTGAGAGAGTGAACCCGGAGCTTGCCTGGGGAGAGCGCTCCAAAGCGAGGGTTAGAAAAGCAGTGAAAATGGGGTCTGGTGATGCGAGTGATGCAATGGATGCCGAGTAGTGCATCATTAGCATCACGAAGGGCTCCGGCGAGCACTTTTCTTGCCTCGGACGGGCTGCTGGGAACGGTGAGACACGTCAGCGTGCGCGCAAAGGTATGAGGCTAGTTGGGTACGAACCTAGAGCATGCACGCACACCAAAACGACATCCTGCACCCCATCGCTTGAGTCAAGCTCTCAAAAGCAAGGATATCGACGTATCCTGGCCAGGCATGCGCGACCGGGCAATTTACATTTGTTGTTGGACTTCAATCAAAGAAGCTATATAGATGGTATTGACTGGACCAGCAAAGCAGGTAAAACATACCCTAGTCTATATAGTGGCTGGAGGCTTTGTGACGGAATTTGGTCGCAACAGTACTTGCCCGAAAGATTCTGTCGTAATTCTTTTGACGGATTTTGCTTGCAACAGTACTTGTCCGAAAGATTCAGTCCTAATTTTTATGACGGATTTTGGTTGCAAAAGTATTTGATGATTGCTTCCAAATGGAACTGGTTGGATGTATTGGGGCAAGTATGGTAGTTGGTTGGCAGCGACAAGTCAGGGGCCCGTGTAGATAGCAACTTGGTGGGGTGAAGAGCTTGCTGTTTAAGGATTGGTTATAGTCACGGACCTATGCCATATTTTTGGGTCACGGTTGGTGACACCAATGCTGAGACATATAGTTCCTGCCATCCTCCTAGTCATCCTGTCAGAGAAGTCTCCTTGGATGTATTGGGGCAAGTATGGTAGTTGTCTGTGTTTTATGTCTCTTCTCTTTTGTGACTCTGTGTCTCTATGTCTCTATGGTTCTGTGTCTCTATGTCTCTGGGAAGAGAGGTGTAGCTGCGACGTATGGTTATATTTTGGGCGGATCAGTGGCATAAGCTCAAGGAAAGTCCCCAACAGCACGAAGCGCCACTCGGAAAACCTCTTCGCTGTCCAGAGTCCACACCCTCCTCTGGAGCCTTGTTTGCTTTGGAACCTGCTCCCGAACCTTCTCCAGAACCTCCTCATGGACCTGCCCCGGTACCTTCTCCCGAACCTTCTCTGGATGCAGCTGCCGCGACGATCCCCGACCTCAGCCCTGCAGCCGCCGTCGGAAAAACAGCTGGCTTTCGTCCTCCCCCTTCTCAGGTAATGTTATATATATATATATATGTATATATATACACCGCGTACAAGTGGGATCCATTCAATCACATGCGATGGAAGTGCCTCACATTTTACAGATGATGCCTAAAATAACCTAAAATTTTGGTTGTCACTCAAAAAGGCCTGGCGCTCTGG